ATATTATCAGCAACAATCCACTAATGTTTTGTAAGAGGTTTGAATTAACAAATGTTCTTTTATTGAATAATCCTAATTACAGATAATGACAATTTTACCATTTCTTAAATTGTACTTCTATTTTCTTCTTATTTTGAAATCATTTTAATTTTTTATTTATAAGAATATTACATTTGATGTAAAAACAAATATATTTCATAAAAAGATTTAATGTAAAACATTGTTGTGAAAAAAATAAATTTTAAAATCCTAACTTTTAAAAAATATATAATAACAAAGTTGTGAAAAAATTATGAAAAACTTTTAAAAGAAAATTGAATTAAAAAAAAGTAAAATAAATGTTAAAAGAAAAAAAAATGAGAGACTAAATATTTCACAAATGGTCATTGTGTAAAATATCACAAATGGTCCTTAGGCAAGTTTCACAAAATAGCAGAAGTGGTCCTTATCTAAAATTATTTCAATTTAACGGAATCATCTAACGGGCATCCACGGTAGGGACCATTTGTGTGCAATGTTTGTTCCGTAGGGACTATCCATGCAAAAAAAAGCTTTTATAAGGACTATTTTAGGGATAAACGAAAAAACTTAAGGACCATCTGTAAGTTTTTTTGTTATTTTTAATAGAAATCTTTAACAAGCTCATTAAATATATCTACTTATTTTCTTTGCAGTATAGTTTAAGAGGGTTGATGTTTGATATTGTATGACTTTGAGAATGACATTTAATTGGTTATGTCATTCCTATGGTTACAAGTGCTTCAACTACCCAACTATTGTAAGTATTTAACGGTTTATCTAATTTCTGACCATTAGCTATGATTTATTTAAATAAGTGATCTTTTGTATATTATCAGCAACAATCCACTAATGTTTTGCAAGAGGTTTGAATTAACAAATGTTCTTTTATTGAATAATCTTAATTACGGATAATGACAATTTTACCATTTCTTGAATTGTACTTCTATTTTCTTCTTATTTTGAAATCATAGATTGTTATACCGTTTTCTTCTTTAGCTATATCAGTATAACTTCAAGAACACAATAGTTCCCCCCCCCCCCCACACACACACACATTCTACTTTTTATCCAAAAGCATGTTAGATAGCGAAGTATGTTGCTAATTTTAGCATTATGTCCAAACCTAAACAATTTTTTAAAAAAGGTCGCTACTGTCACATAACAGCTAATTTTGCAGTATTAACGGGTAGATTTTGCAAATAAAAAATGAAAGTATAATATAAGAATAAAACCCCAAGTGGTATGTAATTTTCTCAAATATTTTTTAATCATCACTACACACACCTACACACTTTAGTGTATATAGTGCGTGTCTGTGTATGTAATGAGTTTGCAGGTTTTTCATTTTTGATGCTTCTTTAGATATACAATCAAGTTAATTTTTCTGTACTTTAACAACTTCTGTTTATTAATTTCATTGTTTGTTCTCAACACTTGTTTTGTTGTTATTGAAGGATTTTAAAATAAGATTAATATATGTTGGTGTGTTTAATGAGTTTGAAGGGATATACTAAAACCATTTTTCGGTTATTTTAATGTGTTGTTTGATTAATTTTAACCGAATAAATTAGCTTTTTTAACCAATTTTTTTAGATATTCTACAGAAGGGAGGGTATGTTATTTGCCAATGTGTGATTGTGCTTTGAGGACAGTATTGCCTTCCAATACCTTGAAGATCTTAAAGAACGAATTTAAGCGGTGTTATGAAAATGAGACGAAAATCGCACCAAACTTTGTCAATTATGTTTACTTTTATTTTTTGTTAATCTTTATCTTTACTATATTATTAAATATATTGCCCATTTCTTGAAAATTAAGAGGTACAACATGTGTTACATCAGGTACAATAATATTAAACATATAACAACTCATATATGTATTACATTACACGGGATACGAATTACACTACACTACACGCGGACCTTACCCTAATCTCCTAAACACAGCCGCCATCAAACCAATTCTCATCGTCTCCACCAAAGATGCAGAGATCTCCACCACCGTCTCCCACCGAAGACCTGATCCAATTACTCACTAAAACCCTAAATCAGTTCTTCCTAAACGCACAAATCCTAAACGCACCCAACCACCATTACATCTTCTACCTATCTGTTCTTACTGCTTTCATGAAAAGGTTTACGCATCGCAGATTTCGTCCGCCATCATCTTCACCGAGAAGCGAGCATCACCACAACAGTCACCGACTCTACACCATGGATCGTAATCGATTTCTCACTCCCAGGCAGAAACCTACATCGATTTCTTTTGCAAGTCGTCTTAGTTTGGTTTCGGTTAGTGGTTTTTCCAATTTTTTTGTCTGTTTCTTTGTTGGGTTATGGTTAACGAAGGTCGATTGTTAGGTTTTGGTGTTCAATTTTTTTGTTTGACTGCATTCGTCACTCAAAATATGAGGTTATCAGATTCGATTATTTCTTGATTTCTTCTTCTACTTTCTTTCACATGTTCTTCGTTAACTACAAACTCAAATTGGGATCAAACAAAGCAACAATTCCATTCCAAATTACTAAAAATTTGACTTTTTTTCCATCAAACAAATTCAGGTCTAATACACCAATTTTGACTTTTTTTCTGGTTGACTCGCAGGAACACCTGCTCAAATCAATCCCGATTTCATTCTTTCACAGGTAAGGTCTTTCACAGTATTTCAATTTTTACCTTTTGCTTGACTTGGCAATCGCAAACATATGTTCATAATACTCCGATTAACCTCAATCGTTCCAAACACAGGCTTGAATCCGATTGCAAAAATATGTTACGATTCCAATTAGGTTCCATTCCGATTGCAAAAATATGTTACGATTTTGACTTCCAAGGTTGACCAGCAAATGACGAATTCAAATTTTGTATGTTTGGAGGCTCTATTCCTTTGCTAAGGTACACATACTTTCCTTAATTACTTGTTTTGCCATGTGCCATGTTTGTTTCTAGATTTTGAAAGAAAAATTATGTTGAATGAAAGAATAACTTTTGGTTTCTCAAATGCAGGGTGATACTTTACATAGGTGGCGAACTGAACCTTTAATCATGATAACTGGTAGTGGGAGGTAACATATGTTATTCATCTACACACATCATCTTTAATTACTTTTTCTGTTTTTTTGGTGGATAAAAATCATAACTTTTTTAATAATATGCAATACTTTTATACTTTTTGTTTGTCTAGATGGGTACCTCCTGCTTTGCCAACAGCCAAGAGTCCACAAAATGAGGAAACTGGAGCCACATTTGCTGCTTGAAGAAGCAGTGTACTACTATGTTTTTTCTATTATAGGCTAATAGCATTATTAAATAAAAGAATGGTTTGATAAGATTATAAAAGGGTATTATGGTCCCTTTATGCATTTTGATGGCATTCGCAAAAACAAGATGAAAGGGCAATTTAGTCTTTCTCTGATCATTGTCCAATGAGATTAGGTTATAAAGCTTCATTGAATTTTTGTGATTTTAGCATGCAGGGGAAAGAATGAATTAATTTAATAATTTGTTAACCATTTCATTTCAGTATAGCAGTTAACTTTACCAAAGTTTAATGGAATTAATATAAAAAAAACTTATGTTAATGTTTTACTATTTCAATTTTTATCAAAGTTGATTTTTTTTTCTTTTCATTCTAATGCTTATTTTCTCCTGATTTAGATCCTAAAACCAAAGTTGCTGTTTGGCTGCTGCTGTAGTGAACTGGAGACAAATTTCATCCATGAACATCACAACTTAAAAGGTTAGTCGACCGGACTGACATGCTATTGATCATCTTGATGACAAGTGTTTGTGATATTGCCTCAATGAATAGACCATATTTCATTTACTGATGTTGTGAATTTCATGAATTGTTCTCATCTATTATGCATAACATTCCATTGAATTTGTTTGGAATTTTCACCTTTGGGTTCGAAATTTAAACCTCATTTGTGTTTTCCCCTAATTTCCATTTGGTCAGCTTGAATTGGTGTTCTTGACCAGTTGTTGAGGTGGAAGGTACATATATGTTAATCTTCGAAATCTGTTTCATCATGTTCTCTGTTTTCATCATGATTTTCTTTCATGCATGCATGCAGGATAAGCTCAAAGTGTACCTTGCACCCTTTCTGCATGGCAGGCGTTATACATCTTTTGGTCGTCATTTTACAAAAGTGGAAAAGTCGGAGAAGGTCATTGTTGTCATTTACTTTTTCTTTTATTTATTTTTGAAGTGTCAGAGAGAGAGGCTAATGCAGTTTGTGTTGGCACCTTTGTGATTTATGAATACGCCAGATTGTTGACAAGCTCAAGGTTTGTTGTTGAAGATGGTGACACAGTAAGTTTACCTTTACCTTACCTGATGAGAACTGAATTTGCTTTTGTATTTGTCTGTTCTGGTAAGCTGGCAAGCTAGTACATGTGAGCAGCAATAGATAAATAAATTTGAGCAGGTAATCGTTGAAGTACTTCTTTTAATTCTTTTAATTACCCACGTAAACTACTCATACTTAACTTACTTGAATAAAACATCTGCAAAAATCCTCTACATATAAAACAAGAACTCTTTTTTACTATTGTACTGCTTTTACTTGAAAAAAAATTATTATGGTCAACATTTAGTCAAAAGTATATATGTGTTCTGTGATACATGCAATGTCATTATTTATAATTTACATGGTGATTGATATTAATATTCTTTAATATATTCTTGATTTTGTATTAGTTAATTGATTGATATTAGTATTTATGGTATAATTTAAAGTATTTTTGGTATGACTTTTGACAGTTAGTATTTATGGTATGATTTAAAATATTTTTGGTATGATTTTTGACATTTAGTATTTGTGGTATGATTTAAAATATTTTTGGTATGACTTTTGACAGTTAGTAATATCCGAAAATACATCATATGATACATTATTCCATCGATAGGGGCGAGTATATTTTCGTACAAAAAAAAATTTCTATACTAATTGAAAGATTTTTTTTTTGGTAGAATCATGAATGATCACATTTACGTTGATGCATTTTCATTGCTACTAAACTACCATTTGTGGTATGTTTTGACACCCGTTCGTGTGGATTTCATTTGGAGGGACTCAAGAGCAAACAAACTCTTCATGGTTCTCATTGATCAAAATGTATGTTAAAAAACTATTTATATCTTATTTTCATTTTCATAATTTATCATAAGTATTTTGTTTATAAAAATATTACATTTTCTATTAGAGAGAGAAATTGTTAGCAGTTGTTCCACAACAAATGATGCATTTTATTTATGGAGGGAATCTATTGGGTGGTGTGTTTTCTTTAAACCATTTCCAAATCGAACCAACCTATGCTGAGTATCCGAGGTATCAAGAATACAGTTTATTACGTGGCGATTTGATGATTAAGATCAGCAATAACACACGGTTTAATCGTTTGGCCGATGCTATCATATCATGGTTTCCGGTTTTTCCATTGGTTCCCTCAATAAAAAGTTTAGTAGAGGATCGGACAGAGAGAAAAATGATGATTGGTAAATTTAATAAGTTATATATATTTTTAGCATTCTAAAGTTTTTAAAATAATAACAAGTTGTCCTTTTAATTATCGCTATTTTTAGATATTGTTGGAAAAATCATCAAAGGGAAGCGAAACTATTCCCGTTACTCTGGTGTACTGACGTTAACTTCGTTCACTTTATATCTCCAAGATGGGCCGTAAGTGTTTATTATTATTATTATTATTATTATTATTATTATTATTATTATTATTATTATTATTATTATTACACTAAAACAAAATTAGGTGACTTTGGAAATATTTGATTATAAATAGGGGGAGTATAATAAAGATGAAACTATATATAACCGACCGAACACGCCATCAGATTGTAAAGACTGTGTATGCGATAAAGAGAAAGTATATAATATTTGTTTCTTGGGTGAAATTGGTTCATTTGGATTCAAGTAAGTTTTTTCTAGAAAATAATAATATTTGTAGTGATATTAAAATAACTAAATCAATACATTTTAATAGTTTTTATCTTATTTTCAGTGAACATTTTGATATCAACCAAACTAAGCAACGTAGAGTTCCAACCGAGGATGTCGGAAGCATTTAACATCATAAATATGCCTATAAGAATTTTTAATTCCGTGTGAGACATTTGGTGCTGTTTTTTTTTTTTTTTTTAAATTTTGACAACTTTTATGAGTGCGTTGTTTTTATAGTTGATCTACATTAATGTTAGACATATTGTGGTGAATTTTTTCATGTGTGGTTTATTTTTCTTGTGTTGACTTATGAATTGATAAATAATAATTTTTGGATATCTATGGAAATTTTCATGTGTGGTTTATTTTTCTATTGTGTTTTTGGATTACAAGTTTTTAGTATAGTTGGTTATTTATTAAGGGTTGTGTTGCTTTCTGAAACACACACATACATGACTACTAAATCACATGGTCTACATTACAAAATGTTACATTCTTGATGATATAATATGTGCTTATTCTTAACATTTCCATTATAGTGTTCAATGAGGACCGTAGATAAGGGAAACGAAAACTTTGATGATTCCCAAAACCCGATAGATATAGAAAAAGGTATGTCGTTTATATAAGTATATAATTGCATTTATAATATATGACTATTTATCCAAATAATATATTTGTAGAAAATCGAAAAAGATACAATAGAAACTATAATGCACGAAAAAAGGAGAAAAAAATGAGAAGGATAGCTAACGGTGAAGGATGTAGTCAACCTACAACACTCACAAGTTGCCCTACAATGGAGAGAAACGAAACAAATATCAACGAAGATTCCTCTGTGAGTGTTATAAGTGCTGCTCAGAGGACGAGTACTTATAATAAAGAATATTATCAACGAAGAAAGGAACGAACTATGATGACAAAAAGAAGAGTATACACCTTTCAGGAGGATCCATATGATTTTGTTTATGAAAATATCCGTATGGAACATCGTATATTAAAGGCTCAAAACCCTTGTGTTTATTGTGGGGCAAAGCGACTACAATATGAATTCCCTACCTTTTGTTGCATGAGTAGGAAGACAAAACTGGAATATTCCCCTATTCCCACAGAATTGAACCAACTCTTCACAAGGCAAGAGCAGCTAGAAGAAAGCTTCAGGTACAATATAAGGGCGTATAACTCAAACTTTTCTTTCGCATCACTGGGTGTAAAGGTGGATGAAGAATTGGCCAATATGACTTCTGGAGTTTACACTTTTTGTGCGCACGGAACACTCTATCATAATATCGATCAGTTAATTTCAAGGGATGGAAAATCGAAGTATTTACAGTTGTATTTTTATGACGGTGAAGCTGAAATATCACATAGATCCTCCTGGAATAATGTTGATAGAAGAATCATCCAAAAAATAACACGTATTCAAGCTTCGAATCCGTACGTTAGAACATTTAAATGACTTTCTGATCTAGGACCGCTTGATAATTATAGAGTGACTTTGAATGCATCGGTGGAACTTGACCAAAGGGTGTACAATAAGCCGACCACATCTGAGGTGTGAATATTAACATTTATCTTTATTCATTTTAAAATTAAATGTGTCATATTTATTATTATACATATCATATTAATCACCATATTGAACTACACCTTTTCATAGGTTGTTGGTATTTGGGTTGAAGGAAATGACAACATCACTGCATATAAAAGAAGTATTATTGTCTATGGGAGGTCTAACTATATTACTGAAATTCAACCTCACTTTGGTTGTTATGATCCTTTGTCGTATCCTTTATTCTTTCCCAATGGTGAGTCTGGATGGCATCCTAAAATACCAAGATATGGGGTCGCCATGGATGAAATTCATAGTGACAATGAAGACAATGATGAAGGTTCAGAAGGTATGCCTTTAACATTCTTTTACATATTTAAAACATGTAACAAATATTGCCTTAAATATTTGGATATTAAATTTATATTTTTCACATAAATTATGATATCATAGGATCTACTTCAAAAAAAGGCAGAAATACTGTAAGTATGCGGGAGTACTATTGTTACAAGTTCCAGATACGGTCGAATGATAATGTGATTTTGATGGGAGGGAGATTGTTCCAGCAGTTTGCAGTAGATATCTATATAAAGATTGAGACTACACGTTTGGTTTTTGTTGAAAAGAACCAAACCAAAATTAGAGCCGATTTATACCAGGGCGTTGTTGATTGCTTCAATGCCGGTGAGGCTCAACCAAGTAGGGTTGGACAGAGAGTTGTGTTACCTGCAAGTTTCATTGGAGGTCCACGTGACATGCGTCGAAGATTTCTGGATGCCATGGCTTTAGTTCAAGATGATGGGAGGCCTGATATATTTCTTACAATGACGTGCAACCCAAAATGGAAAGAAATCGATGATGAGTTATTGCCTGGACAGTCAGCTCAAGATCGATCGGACCTTGTTGCAAGAGTTTTTCATGCTAAGTTAGAGGATCTCAAGGTACAATTATTCCAGAGACATATAATCGGTGTGGTGGGGTCATATGTGTATGTGATAGAGTTTCAAAAGCGTGGATTGCCACATGCACATTTCCTCTTAATAATGACACCTGGATATAAGATGAATAATCCAGACGATTATGAGAAACTTGTGTGTGCGGAAATTCCCGACCCAATAAGGTTTCCTGAAATGCATGATCTTGTCAAAAGTCACATGATGCACGGTCCTTGTGGTAGCTTACGAGAAAAAAGTCCATGTATGCAGGGTGTGCCAAAAATATGTCGTTTCAGATATCCTAGGCAATTCAATGAAAAGACATCACAGGGAGAGGACTCATATCCATTATATAGAAGGAGAAATAATGGAATTGAGGTGACTGTAAGAAATACAACATTGGATAACAGATGGGTGGCTCCATACAACCCAAAGTTGTTAATGATGTTTAATTGTCATATCAACGTTGAGGTTTGTTCGAGTATAAATTCTGTGAAGTACCTCTTCAAATATGTTTATAAGGGCCATGACAAACAAGTTATCCATGTTGATAAAGACCAAGAAAATGTTGTTATTAATGAGATACGAAAGTTTCAAGACGCACGTTATGTGTCCCCTCCTGAGGCATTATGGCGAGTTTTTAGCTTTCCTCTTTCAAAAATCCACCCTTGTGTGATGGCCTTGCAAATACATCTCCCGAATCAACAGTTGGTTAGGTTCAAAGACGGTGACAGAATGGAAGACATTGTTGATAGGGAGAAAGAAAAACATTCAATGTTGACGGCATTTTTCAAGAAGAATAAAGAAGATTCCAATGCGAGAAAATATTTGTATAAGGATTTTCCCAAACATTTTACATGGAATCGGAGCAACCATTGTTGGAGGACCAGGGAACATAAATAAATGATTGGTCGACTTGTTTATGCTAATCCAGCTGAAGGAGAGAGATACTACCTACGCCTGCTTTTATGTCATATTACTGGGCCTACCTGTTTTGAAGATTTATACACAGCCAATGGTGTATTACACCCTACATTTCGAAAAGCAGCTCTTGAAAGAGGTTTAATAGAGACCGATGATAATTTATCACAATGTCTTGTAGAGGCTTCCTTATTTCAATTTCCCAGCGCACTTAGAAGGTTATTTGCGACGATGCTGATTTTTTGTGAACCAGGAAATGTTCGCAAGTTATGGGACGACCACTATGATGCTCTTTCTGAAGATTATAGGAAACAATATGGATGTGTCGAACGAGTGCAAAATATGGTCCTCGTCGACATTAGAGTCTTCCTAGAATCTATGATTAAAAATCTTAGTGATTACAACATTCCAAATGTCAGTGCACACATCGATTTACAATCAAGAGGCTATCGTGAGGTGCAAGAAGAATACTCTATAAATGTGGAATATGAAGACTTACATGCGCGAGACTCTCTCAATCCAGACCAGAAGTTTGCATATGATGAGATAATGAGGCATTTGGATCAAAATATTCCGGGTGTGTTCTTCATAGATGGTCCCGGTGGAACTGGAAAGACATTTTTGTACAAAGCTTTGTTGGCCAATATTCGTGCCCGTGGTCTCACATGACCATCTTTATGTGGCGTTGTCCAGAGGAATATCACGTTTCAATACCAAAGTATTAGTAAAGCCGGAAAAAATGTTTGATAATGATGGAATCTACACATCAAACGTTGTGTACAAAGAAGTGTTATGTGATTAACAAGGTACAATCAACAACTTATTATTTTACAATTTCTTCAAATATGTATCTTATATGCTTATTTGATGTTTAATGCAGGCTAGCAGATGAAGCAACATGATTGCAGATTTGTGTAGTTTATATATTGGACATGTTATAAATGTACAAAATTGCATGGTTGCAGATTGTTGTTATTTATATATTGTAAAATCAAGTATGAACTATTAGATGAATTATTTGAGATGTAGACTCAACTTTTGTCGTATTGTATGACTATGCACCTAGCAAGAAACTATTTGTTGAAATGAACTATTCGACACAAAATAGTCTACCAAATGGCCGCAATGAATAGCTCACGTCTACAGGAAACTAATCATCACATTAAAACTATCTTCCGAAAGATACTATTTGCCGCCCGACGCTTAGCGCGGGTAAACGGCTAGTTAAAGCTAATTCATTTTCCGATGACATATTAGTAACATCTAAGTTTATTATTGGGTTATTGGGCTAAGGTGCTACTGGATTGGGCTTGCTATTGAACTAAAGAGTTGTACCTTACGACTATGAAGAAAGAAGTTTGTATGAGAAGGACCAATGTTAGAAAGTTTTTTCTAGTGGGTTGTGGCTCACATACGTGATAGTTTATGTGAGGAAGGTGCGAATCCGTCTAATCGAATTCATCTCTGGGTTAAACCCGGTTTATATTGGAATGTTAAATGGATGACTTTAATTAATCTTTGTTAAATTGGTTATGTTTGTGAATGAGAAAAAAACTTGAGGTGTTGACAATTGGTGATATGGTGAAGAACTGTTGGAATGATAATTATGGCATATTAAAGAATCCAACTCAAAATTTCAAAGAAAAAACTCGATATTTATGTAAGAATCCGATTTTATAAAAGAAAACTTTTTGCAAATATATGCTTAATAATTATAATTTTATAGTATCTATGTTATGAGATCTATTTATACATTATTCAATAATAAATGTTATAATACTATTTATTTTTTGACGTTTTTATTTTATAAATAGCACAAATAAGTTACAATAAAAATAATAGTGTAATAATTTTCAATAAACCAAATATAAATATAAATAATATTTAATATACATTACTTTAAAAGAAAAAAAATTAATATATTTAAAAATGAAATATAATTAAAAATGTAATATTTTATTTATAGATATGATTGTATTTTAACATGTTATATTTATTTACAAGGTTAGTAATATTTTATGATTTTAGTTTTAAATATTTTTAAAAGTAACGTTAATAAATATTATTTAGTTGTATTAAAATTTGAAATAGAAACTTTGTAATTATATAATGTTTGACTTTAAGTATGCAGCTATATTACGTTATTTAAAATGAGTTATATTCATATTGGATTAAGATGTCTAAACTCATAACTAAATTGATATATTCTTGTAATTAAAAGAAAACTTATTTTTGGATTGTCCTCATACAAGAAATAGCTATAATTGATATACAAGAAATAGCTATAATTGATATTAAGAGAGAAAAGAAATGATTTATTAATACATTATATGATTAATATTTTAATTAGAAATAGATAGTTGATTTGTTAGTTTATTATGCGATTAATGAATTAATATGAGATCAATAGTTAAATAATTGATTTGTTAATTTATATGATTAATAAATGAATAAGGAATCAATAAGAATTAATTTAGAATTAATCATATTTATTTGGAATTAGTTCCTAGATTAATTGAAATTAGTTAAAGGTGCAAGGGGTGAATCGTAATTGTTCAATAGTTGAACAAAAGAAGCAACTCTAGAACCATCCATGGTATTGACGGTTTTGGAGGGGTTTCTAGGGTTTATGGAAACCTCCTGCTGCAGATAAGGAAATGATTTGAACTGTGATTAAATCTATTATTTAATTAATTCAAATCTGGATTCATCTGCAAGTTACCTAAACTATAAATATGGCACATTGGCTTGCAAATTTCATTCACACTCTTCCAAGAGGCTTAGAGCTGAAATTTCTTCCTACATCATCTCTCTCATTTTCATTCTAGGGTTTCTAGGGCTTGGGTGTGAGCCATTAGAGGAATCATACTTTTGGTGCTTGCTTTTCGAAGTTCAAGGAAGGATTCAAGGGTATTCTTTAATATAATAATACAAAGGTGTGTAACCCTAATCTTATGATTTTAGAATATAGTTAGGTTTCTTGTGTTTCATAATATGTTGTTATTAATTACAAAGACATGGATCCTTAGGTTGCATGTACCCTTAAGTGTGAAGTGTAATTTCGCAAGTACAATGATTTTGTAACCTTAAATTTCCATCAGTAGTATCAGAGATTTGGTCTTACAATTGATTGTGCATGAGATGAATCAAAACAAAAAAATTTCAAAAATGATTGCACCGTGCCCTTTGGTTTTTTCGATTTTCATGTCCTTATCTGCCTAATCCGAATGTAGGTTTAATTTTAGTGGTTATCTGTTTTGAAACTGTTATAATCCGAATTTTTATTCAAAATATATAATTAAAACCCTAATTTGGATTTTGAGGAGCTAAATAATGAAACCTAAATTTTAGTTGTAAGATGATTAAATTGAATTATCCTTAAAGGATTATAATATTTAATTTAATTAATATTAATCAAACGATAAAGATTAAATCCACAATAGATTTATATGATTTGATTAATTTAATTAATAGTATAATTAAAAGATAATGATAAATCATAAAATGGTTTATAAGATTAAATACTTGATTTATATAATTAATTTTAAACCTTCAATATCTTAAAATGATTAAAATACACCATATACGTATATAAAATGATTAAATACTATATGCATAACAAAAGTCAGTCAAATCATTAGTACGCCTCATTTACGAAGCCATATTATTAGAGAGATATAAGGAAGAGACCTCTAAAATGACTGTTGTATGGGTGTCTTTTTCATCCACCGCTTCTTTGTGTGGTGGAGAGTCGTTAGTCGAATGGATTTGATAGGACATAATTACATTAAAAGTATAATGATATAAAGTCCTAGAGCATTCGCTTAAAAATCTCACTCTAGTTACTTTAGGAAAAATGTGATGTAACATCCATAAAATTCATGAAAATTTTAAACTTTTAAAACCAATCCACAAATCATCATTTTTTACAAATTAGTTTTCAAAACATGTTTAATATCAGAGTTTTCCCAAAATCATATATCAATACACGAGGAGGTGCACGATCACGCCTTCGCCTTCCCACGATCATCTGAGGTACCTGAAACATAACCCAAAACTGTAAGCCCAAAGCTTTCTGAGTTCCCCCAAAGTACCAACACACAAACCAATAACACATATACAATAACAACATACTATGGGTCCAATCAACCATCGAGTTGGAATACCCTAGGCCCCTCAACCATCGGGTTGGAATGCCGACATACTATGGGCCCAATCAACCATCGGGTTGGGATAACCCAGGCCCTCAACCATCGGGTTGGAATGCCAACATACTATGGGTCCAATCATCCTCGGGATGAAATACCCTCGGGCCCATTCAACCATCGGGTTGGTATGCCCCGGCCTGTTAGCTTATGTACAAAGCAGTGAAGCCTCAGCCACCAACCAAACATGTGCACATATAACAGATAATCATCTAACAGTCTACAACCAGTTAAATAGATCTACAGATCACTAAGCATAACATCATCCTATATACCAGGGTACCGATCTAACAGATCACTATAGTACAATAGCATGCATAACATGAAATCAATCTAATGGGCCGACATTGGTGCCTTCGACCCGTAAGTACAGTGAGCAAAACTCACCTCACAAACTGAACAAACCTGATGAGGCTCGACTTCGAATATCAGCTCTCTAACTGATATATATTTCTACCAAGTGACCAATTCCATCAAAATCCAGAAATACCCAAAATGCCCTCAAGGTCAAACTTGCTCAAAGTCAAAGTCAAAGTCAACTGGTCAAACCCACTAAATCAACAGAGTCAACCCAGCCGAGTCAACTCAACCAAGTCAACTCAACAAGGATGACCCATGCGAGTATGCGGGGCATACTCCAGAAGTACGCTTAGCATACGCGAAGCCTCGCAGAAGACCACCATCGGGGTGGTTGACCGAGTACGCGGGGCGTACTCCTATGTACGCGGGGCGTACTCCTATGTACGCGGGGCGTACCCTCGCAGCCTCCAAACTCCA